CATTAATGTATATATCAATCTTTAAATCTAGATAATCTGATATGAATGCATAATGAAGACAAGAACACAATGAAGAAATTCAAAGAACATCAATTCCAGCAAACAAAGCTCAAACACTTTCTTCATAAATATTTAAGATACTTTTGATAATCGTAGAACTATAACTCTTGATTACTTATGATGATAATAGATCGTTTTAAGTAGCATGCAACGTTTAAAATTCCGTTTCATATCTCTCATTTCGTTGTTAATTTTTTATTCAAAATTACCCCTTGTTTTCTGAACATACCTAATTACAATTTTAACTGTCGATTCTTATCGACCCTTCTTGCCTTTTATCTGATGATAATATGATATATTGTATTATTCATGGATATCAACACTGTCTATCTTTATATCATTCGCTTTGTAAAAGAATAAATGAGTTTTTTGTAATTATAATTTCTCAATTATATTTTATTAAAAATAAACAGAAATAAATTACAAATAAATTACACTTGTAATTCGAATTCAGCAAAACACTTTAACTCGTAATCACATTTCATCCATCTCAATTTGTTCACGGAATTAAGAAACAGTTAGTTGGAAAGTTCACTAAAGTTAATCGTTAATTGAATCAACTGTAGATCTTACTTCGATTCAATACTCGGAGGACATTTTGGTTAATTCTCGATAGCATTAAGTCTATTCCATTGGGTATATTTGACCTTAGCTTACAAGACAAATATGAGACAATAGACGACATCAAAGCAAACCGGCTGACACAAGCAATTCCAAGAGACGATTGAAAGTTTCAATTAGAATAATTGGCGAACTTGTGAAAAAGCTACCTCCTCACCGATTTCAATGATCTTCAAGTATATCGTTAAAGTTAGAGCAATTCTTTTCTTATACTTACTGTGAAAAACTACTTTTGCTTATAACTCGAAAAGTCGTTATGGAAAAAAGTTGCAACAACATAATTCAAACTCATTAAAATCATTATAAAATATCTCTTCATCGAATTAATTTACTTAATTATATTTGTATAACGAGTATTGTAATAATTTGAAAGGAGAAATAATAAATTTACTTGCTTATTTGGAAAATTCGATTTCGAATACATGAATAATTTCAAAATCGTTGTTAATCATACCAAATAATAGAATAACTGATATAGCAAATATTTCATAATAAATTGGATAAAATGGATGTAATTCGATATATCGAAATTATTAAATCATAAAACTAAAATTTACTCGATTTAAGTTGCTTGATTTAAAGATATTTAATTGTATTGTAATTTTTTTTCATGGCATTTACATCAAATGCAATATACGAAATGAAAGTGTATTAATCTAAAATTATGGCGAATCTGATGATATCAATTAAAAATTAAATAAAAATAGATTTTTGATAAAAATAAATTTAGAAAAAAGTATCTCAAAATATTAAGCCAGATTAAATATTAATCCAAACTCTTGTTTCTAATCTTAATTTTTAAATATTATTATTCTGTTTCAAGTAATGTAATAATCAAATATATCTGTCAAAAAATATTAACTGCAATCGTCATTTTTAATCTCTGATAAAAAATTTACAATACTTGGGAAAGATGTCAAGGCGACAGTGATTACGAGAAAAGCTTGTGTAATTGGAAATGAGGAAAACGTTTAAACAAAACGTACAAATCAGGCTAAACCCGATACTTATGAACCAGGCATACGTTGTTCATATCGATCACAACAGGCTGTGCTTAAAATAATACATGTTTCTGTGTAGATTTAATGGGCGGTTTAGGTAGGTAAGTGCAGTAATTTAGACTACGATTCCATGACCATACCGCGAGCTCGTTAATTATTAGAGAACGATACCTATGGCCTATGGAACATATCGACACGTATTTTACATGTTGTGCATTTACATGCATTGCACATTTTCCAGTTAAAATATATAATCAGATAAATAGGACATTCTCGAAGATACTTTTTCATTTAATATAATTAATATTGTCAAAAAATATGAAATGGCTTTAAGTCATTTTTGACATTACTGGTCCCAATGGAAATTTCTTAGAACAAAATGATTAACTAGGTTTTGAATGGTTTTGAGTACAGTTGTCTAGTCATCGGTATGGTAGAAGTAGGTTAAGCAGATAGTGGAAGAATCGTGTTTCAACATTAATTCATAACCTGTGATTTGCATTTCATGGAAGTGTAATACCAATTCCAACGAGTCGTCGAGTAGAAAAACCTTGCTCTGAATGTAGTCTATGATTTGTTTCATTTATTCAACAATGAACATGAGCAAATTTTCGTTTAATCTACAATAAAATAGGCTTTCTTAATCTTTCGTGTCCATAATTAATTTACAGTTAATTCCACTAATTTACATATTTTCATTTTAAACAAAAACTAAACCGTAAACGCATTCGAATTCATCCTCATCCCGATCCCCTTCGTAGCAGCAAATAAATCAAGTCCTCAAATTAACAACAATCGGTAAACAGGTTCCAAAGCGACCAACGTGAGACCAGAATCGGTACAACCGATTCAAGCCCTCGAAAATAGCAATTAGCACGGGCACAAAGATCCCTCCATCAAACAAGCCATCGAAGCAAAATCAACCGTCCTTCATGATCCGAGCAGGGAACACGGTCTATCGTCGCTCGATCCAAAATTCGAAGGACCAATTAGACGTGGGCACAGACGGTTTCGTTGATGGAGCAACGACGATCATGAGTGTACGCCACATCTGTATCCACTACAAAATCATCGGATTACAATGGTTGGATGCATCGTAATTACATAGTGTATTCACGGGTAGAATGGGGTGACAGTTTGAGGCGCAGGGAAGGCTGGGCGAAGCGTACTCGGTGTAGAGATCGAGGTCGTCTTAACAGCCCCAGAGACAAGGTTGGCACATAGAATAATAGGGTTCGTCGGTGTGGCTGGGTTAGTCCCTGTTAGCAAGACCGAAGGTGCACAATGTATGCAAACACCGTCGCGCTACGGGATTCCCTGGAAATGCTCGAATTAATGTGCCTCCGTCCAATAGGGCATGCTCTCCCACTCTTTGCAACCTCGTTTCGCGAATTGCCTTCAAAACTAACGATGACAAGACTATCAGTTTTCCTTAACTAGCGTATTATAGATGGAAGTCTCTAAAGAAATATACTTTTTTGAAAATATTTTGCAAATATTCTCTATGATTTTTGAAATATTGCAAATCGATTAAAATACAACTTAACACTTAAGAATGAAAATAGGAATTTAGAATAAAGCTTCGTGAATTCGATAAGAAGATAGCTTTTGCAGTTTATTTACAGCTCAGACTTAGTATCATCAAATTGTATACTGTTCTACTTTCTGGAAGATCGATGGTGAAGTTGGATGAAGTAAAGATAGATTGTCACCAAGTTTTCAAACGCAAACGATGGAAGTCACTAAAATTGATAGAATTTATTTCGAAGAGAAAAAAAAACTTTTTTCTTAATTTATATACTTATTAAGATACTTATATATAATTAATAAATGTGAGATAATACTTACCTGACTTGATGTAAATAGGTTGAATTGAATAGACTTTAATGATTCGAATCCTTTCGTCGACATTGCAGTAAAATCAATAGATAAAATAGTAAAATAAAATATATATTGTTAGAAAAATTGTAGAATTTTTTTGTATATTGCTAGTCGAATTATAAGATCTGTGTATGTAAAATTATGTCGTAAAAATTTAATCAAAGTAATCTTAAACACTCTGCAAGTTAGATATATAACTTTGAACAGTTATTTGGACTTAAATTTATAAATAATTAGTAGACTAATATGAATTGAATATATTTATACATGTATTTAATTATCACAGGGACAAGATTATCAGAAGTAAAAGAATATATTTATTTTTTATCCTTTGATTAATTATTTATTTAAAATATAATTAAGTATTTATTTAAAATATATTTATAGGTATTATACTTTCTTTTTTTTTAAAGTCATGCTTAAATAAAATATAAACTAAAAATATTTGTCAGCCAAAAATATCTTTTGACATTAAATAATCAATATGAATACTTACGAAGATTGATTGCCAATGTATTATTCAGATCTCGTATTTTCGCCTAACAATACGTGTTAAGAAAAACAGAATAGAAGGTAAAATGAAATAAATTGTTGAAACACAACAACACAAATGACAAATAAAATTTATATTGAAGCGCTATAATACATAAAAACATATCGATCGAATATCCAAATGACAATAATGCCAACAAAAAATGAATCCAAACGATACATCCAGCTTCGTTTAAGGCAAAAATTAGGCAAAATAATGTTTACACGATTCAATAAACAAAATATATCTCTATTAAGATTAAAATAATTCCAAACTAGAATATAAATTCGATTAAACATTAGATTATACTGAACAAAAAATTAATCATATTTTAATCATCGTTAAAATTGAGCCCGTTCTCGAATAGTACTATGGAATACTCAACTTAAAAAGCTGGCCAAAAAAAAATTTTCATATTAAGATTCTTAATTTAAAAATCAAACACATACGTAAAAAAAAAAAAAAATAATAATAATAATAATAAAATTTTACCAACAATTTTAAAATAATTTTAACACGATCAAATAGATTAAAACGCTGTTAACAAGTTATATAATAGTGTATCTTTGGATTATTTCCAAATGCATAATCGATTTCATCTTAAGCATACTTCCTATGTCCTTAAGAGTTTGAAAATTTGAATTTCGGCCAACTTCTTAAGCCAAACACTCCATCGTGTGATCCCACTTGGAGTAAAATTTTCATGGTACTTTCATCGTCGTGGATGCACCCCAAGATTTCCTTCACGTTCGGCATAGGGAACGTGATGGACACTGGACCGTGTAACGAGATTCGGCTCACGTGCGGCCGAAATTTCGGCTGTTCATTCCGTACGTTCTCTCCTCTCTTAAATAGAGAAGATCGGGAAAAGGTTCGGACAGGACGACAAGTGGGCGAGGCACTCGTTTCTGTAAAACAGATGAAACGTATTCTCTTTATTTCGTATGCCATCGAGTATTTATCTTACGTGACCGAACAATCCTCTCTCCCCTGACTTAACAACACGTGACTTTTTTAGCGAATGAAATTCGGACATCGGTTGTGACTATCCAACTAGGGCCAGGCTATCTCGCCTATTTACAATAGAATCTTTGTACAAAAACTAATCTCATATAAACAGTAAAATGTATTTGGATGATCCTGGGTTCTCGGTACATGAGCCGAGAACGAGGACGGGACATTCGATATCCCTCCACGTTACCACGTGTCGGGCGATTCGACGACGATCCACCGTCAAATTGGACCTCTCTCTTTATCGGGAACTCGGTTTCCATCCTCTTCGAAACCCGGTCTCTTCGTTTTATTCGCGAACGTGGCCGTACTCCGTTATAAAAATCTGCAGGTAGAAAAAGAACGGACAATCGAACGAGAACCCATCACGATCCGATACACTCCATCAAGCATCGAGTTCCTGTCTAATCATCGACGTTTCATTAACTCGTCGAGTATCCCGATATTCCACTTGTCCAATCTACACGACTAAAATCGCCTGTATGCTATTCCTCGTTCCCGTCACGACGACCCGGAAATTTCTCATCTCGTTTTCTCTTTTATTTCGTTACTTCTTCTTCTTTTTCTTCTTCTTCTTTTCTTTCTTCTTATTTTTCCTTCTTTTGTACAACGTTTTTCGTAACGTAGAGTCGTCGACCGTAGGAAGACGCAACGCACGAGATTTCACGCGAGAATTCGAGAATTCCTTCCCTTTTGTGGGATTGGGGATTCCCGCGCAATTTGTAACTAGCTTCTCTTTGAGAGAACGCTCTCTGAGCCACTCGAGTCTCTCGACACGGCGAGACTTTGATCGCGAGGATTTATATACAACTTTCTTGTATCCGATTCGAGCGCGTCACCACTTCCGGCTGATGGAACTTCCCCTGCGCGGAGACCGAAGAGGAGACCGGCCTCTGCGGCATCGATGACAAACCTTTGCCTGACCTCTGGAGGCTGTAGTACATCTGCAATCAATCGAACGTGTTCTTTGTTTTCAGCCAAATACTTCGCTTGTTCGTTAATAGCTTTGTATTTTCTCTTTTCTCTATTGATATGGGGATGGTGTACTAAAAAATGATGATTTTAATATTGGAGAGAAGAGAAATTTTGACGAGTTAAGTTTTCTCAATTGTTAGAAGAGAACGACTTTAAAGTTGGAGCATGAATATGTATCGAGCTTTTCATCCTTTTATCTTTGATATATCTTGATATTGGATCAATATCAAAGTATTAAAATAAATATTATGTACATAAATTTATTAACAGTAAATATTTCCAATTTTTCACGCTTTATTTAATGATCCAAGAAAAAATGTTCAATGAAATGGGGCACATATAAAATATTATAAAACGATAAAATGGCACGTTTATCTTAGATGCAATAATAATAATGTAATTACGTGTTTGAATAGTTGTTCAGTTTGATATAGAAATTAGCGCTCAACCAGTTTACGATCCTGAGGAGACAGATTAATTATCCTCTCTTTAACGCTTTTCGAAGGATGTAAACATTTGCTAAAATTGAGTTTCAGTTAATTGCGTCGAGAACGTTAAACGCTTTACGAAAGGTTACCTCAAGTCCTTAGAGACTTTTCTGAAAGGTAAATGTGCTTTTTCCAACTTGTTTTTTCAATGTTAATTGAGTTTGCACATTTCCATATTGCGACAACGCCCTATATTTTCCTTTAATATATCAAAGATATTTCAAAACAGGTTTTAAATTGAAAATAAATAGATTCCATCTCGAATCATTATACGATTGAATCATTATTTATGAACTCATAGCAAGAAAATATACTTTTCTTTAAAATCGTATACTTTAAACTTATTAAATTATGATGAGATAAATTTTTCTACAAATTGCTTCTTTTAAAATCATGGCATATATTGTTGTGTTAATTTTTTTTTATTTCTTCTATATTTATATTTAAGTTCATTAAAGTATTATACGCCAATACTTATGATTTTTCATTTTTTCAAACAGGCAAGGCTTTATTGATTATCATTCAATTAGAAGTTAATAATTTCTATTAATTTCTATTAATAATAGAAATATTAAAATAAAAACATTTACCATTTTCATTCCATGTTTTATTTTTGCACAAATATCTTTATTTTCTTTTATTTTATCTTACCTCTTATCCTATTCTTTTACATTTATCTTAATTTATTTATTCTCCTCCAAAATAAAATTCCTTTCTATTTCTCTATTTATTTTATTCTTTATTTTTTCCCTCTCTTCTCTATTTTAAATTGGGTAGCAATCAATCTCTCAATTTAAATTCCTCGAAGAGCAAATAAGAATTTTAAACCATTCGTCAATAGAATTTTACATTAGACGAATTCGGAACAATTCTTAAAAATCACACAAAATTGTTCACGTCTAAATTCCATTAAATTCCATTTATTCATCCATCATTAATCGTTAACGTAATCAATTTTGTAAATGCCCATATTTTCATGATCAATAATCATATCTGTCCGCATATGTTGATAAACCCTGCGTCTAAACGCAAAATTACTTACACTCTATTAATTCAACGCTATAGCGTACCATCAACATTGTTCTCTCGCTTAATTGGACATACAGCCCGATAGATTCCCATCAGAATTACACTGACCACCGTTACAAACCGCATTAACGATACAAATTACACCTTCCACCGCTCGCGTATATAATTTTCACACTGAAAAAATATCAGCTTATCTTAAAACAACGAGTCTATATAATCTATATATCGCGGAATCGAAAACTGCATAAACTGTTCGCACGGAAAATAACCAAAACTTCCGATTTACGATACCAGCCAGCGCGAAATATTCAACGAATGAGAGAAAGAGAGAGTGAATGAGCGAGCTCGAGAACGAGAGACAGACAGATAAATAGAAAGAGAGAGAGAAAATGGAAAAAAGGAGGACAGTAAATGCAAATGCATCGATACTTGTGAAAATTGCAAATTCGGAATTAATAATGGAACAGCCAATGGGGTTGGAACGCGAGCTACACCCGAAAATAATCGAGAACCGCGGCTGGGTTACGTGATTCCGTGAAAAACAAAAAAAAAAAAAAAAGGAAAAAATATCACTCGTGGAAAACGAAAACATCCAGGGGGAGGGAATACCAGGGGCTGTTTAATGAACAAAGGCTGCGGCGGTCTCGGTTTTCGAAATCGGTATTAAAATTATTCAGACGTTTAATGGAACGCGACCAGTTGTCGTTGGGGAAGGAAAGGAAGTCGAGTTACGCGCGCATCGGGACTGGCCCTCTCGAATTATCGAGGAAACTTCGACGTAATTAAACTCGCAGATAACCCAAGGCTTCGCTAAACCGGAAAAGTTAAAGTGGAAGACTGGCGCATATTAAAGCGAGCCGATCCCTCCACTTCTTGGCTCGTGTCCCGGGACCCCCTCCCTCCCCCCCACCTCTTCTTCGAAACTTCGAATATTTTAAAACAACCTTGTCGGTTTGGTTACGCGGGGCGGAGGGGGGAGGAATAGGGAGAGGGACAGAGGCGGAGAGATTGGCCACGATAAAGAAGAGGAATCGCGTCGACGAGGGGAGGATCGATTGTATTGCTTCCTCGGGCAAAAAAAAAAGAGAGGGAGAAGGGAGGGGGAGGGGAGAGAGAATCTCCCTGTTGAATATTGTATCACGTTTCATCGATCGGCCGGTTCGGTAATTCGCTCGTTTCTCCTACAAACTTTCACCCCCTACCCCTTCTTCCGTGGCCAGGGAAAGCGTTAATTGCTTCTCATTAATCAAACGGCTTCGACTAAATACACTCTATTAGATATCGGCGAAAGAAAAAAAAGAGGGGATCCCCGATTAAATTTACAGACCTTAATGAGTTTATGGGACTAATTGTCCTATCCCGCTTGAGGATGATTTATGTGGCCGCGGTGTCGATCGATTAGTTCCGGTTCCGGGATATCCTGATCTCGTTTTTTCCTTTTCCCGAGAGAATGCGAAATCGTGGAAAGTTTCGTGGTTGAAAGGAAGCGGAGAAAAGAGCGATAAATCCGGATGATCTAGTGGATTCTTCTACTTTTGTTTCTGTTTGCTTATCTTCGAATTCCTTTTGGAACGTCAATCATGGTGACTCGTGAATTTGTTGATTCTGGGGAGGGAAGGTAATTCTCTCTATCTGATAGTATTTCTCTTTCTCTCTCTCTTTTCGAAGAATTCGATGGAATTTCATTAATATCTGAATTTTCAATGAAATTCGATACATCACGATTGTAAAGTTAATATTTGGGATTCGGGAAAGGCTTTGAAATATGTCCATTTCCATTTCTATGAAATATTTAACTTCTCTTTCGGATTGATGATGTAAATATGAGCCATCGAGAGTCAAATTTAATTTTATGCGGAATAATTATTTCGATAGGCAGTTGCAATTTTGATATTTTTACCTTGATGAAATGAAATATTATTTTTCTTTTCTGAAAATTTAAAAAATTCAAGGAAAAACTTTCGTTTATTTTATCAAACACGTTGCATAATTATATAAATGGCCTTATTTTGTTATGCTTTTCGTATATATGTAATTTCAAATTTTCCCACCCAGGTAATATATTATACCGGTGATAAATTGCCTCGCTTTAACTGAACAAAGCTGTATCTGTACAAAAGTTGGAGCAGAATTTCACGCGACAAAAATAAATGGGTTTGAATTGCGCGTGACTTGGTGCGTTTAAAAATTTCATGGTCGCTTCTATTTTTCTTTTTTATACGGAGCCGTCTACTTTTTTGTATTCTCACCAATTTATATCTGGCTCGTGTATAATATATTTGCAGTTCCGCCCCCAATTATACGAAAAATGCAAATTTTTACTTTCAGAGAAAAGAATGATTGGAAGAACTCACGTTTTGCTTGTTTCGTTGATTGTAATCGTCCATTGCCATCTGCTTGAAGTCAGCCATGGTGGGTGGATTGCTGTACGTATTCGATTGGGATATGTGATTTTGGGGATAATTTATGGTCGGCGTTGGCAGACAGTCGCTCAACAACGAGTCAGGTGGTAGATCCAAACCGTGTTGCACGATCGGCCTTTTCTCTGGCGAGATCGCCTCGTCCATGACACGATCCTTCTTTCTCCGTTGCGGAGGCGTCTTATATATCGGAGTGTACGTTAGAGGTCTTCTCTCTGCGAACAGATTCGAACGAAACCGTATAAAGTTGCGTGTTCGTTAAGCAGATTAAGATTAGTCGATTAAATCTAGACAAGAGTTTAGTCCCCGTGCACGGTACAATACGTACAACAAGAGAAAAGAGCACCAGGAAAAATTGTGCTTCCGCGATGGAGCTTTCCTTTTTTTTAACAGGGACGAATGGATAATTTGGATATTCACTCGGGAATTTATATGAATTTTAATATGAAAATTTCACTTCCTGTAATATAATATATTTGTTTATAACGGAGTTGATTATCCAAACATAAATTAAAATTTAAAATTTGGTTAGTCGAATAATTGATTATATATAGAATATAGAATATGAATGCCAGAATGAATATGCCTTAATTATTAGTTCAAATAATCGATATTTTATTGTATATCTATAAAGTGTAGAACATCTTTTATTTATCGAAATGAAATTTTATTATTATCCGAACTAGCGTCGATGATTCCAATTATACGAATGTTTATTGTGAATGAAAACAAAAGACGTAATAGTCATAACATATTGCGTGATTTCAAAAATAAGCTAAATGTATTTGATTGAATCCATTTTGTATGTAAACATAAAGTTGGATTATTTGAACGAAAAGTCGCAAGTAGCAAGAAAAATATTTGGCAGATTTATATAAATGGAATTCTGTTATATTTATATTTTGAAAGAATCGAAAAGTAAAATTTGATTCAATCTATCATTTACAAAACAGTCAAATTATATAAAATGATTTCAATTTCTAAAAAATTTTATCGAGAATATATATAATACTCTTAAATTTGCAAAAATATTACATATGTTTTTCATAAATAAAATCTAAATGTTTTATTTATTTTCTCAAAGTAAGTATATATTACTTACAGTAAATTAATACTCATCCTATTGCTTATTCCGATCATATCAAAGTCTTTCTTAAAAATTACGAAAGAAACAAATTACACTAAAAGTTATGCTATATGATTCAGTTTCAAATTCACTCTGAAATAATGGACGTTCATTGAACCAAAGAAATTCAAACAATTCGAATGGATCAAAGAATTATTATTACAAGGGATCGAAGAATTAATCTGTAATTTGAAGTGAAATGATATTTTCAGAAATAACTCGTAGTCGACAAAGAAACGAATCTCGTTCATTTTTCTTTCGAAAGTATCAAAGCTTCCGATGAAACGTAATGCGTTTGCGTTCGTCCGCTTTAATGCTGAGATAATAATGTAGAAGTTTGATGAGCACACATTGATCACTATTCATTGTGGATAAAGGCATCGCGTTTCCGACCTATTAATGTGTATTGAAGCGTATCAATTTAACCTGACAATGCATTTCGAAATTCATTGGTACGCGGAAATATCTTTGATGGAAAAAAAGAACCCTTCGCAAAACCATTCGCCATTAACATTCTGAGAATTTGAATGGAACGAGATGGCGATACGCCATCGTATCTTTATCGATTTTTCCCCCCACTGTTCATTGAACGCATTTTCGAAAATTAATTCGTTGATTAGAATCCAAATGCAAAACAATTGCCTTTCTGAGATTAAAGTTGAAGAAAACAATCTTCCATTTAAATGAAATTACAGATATCCATGATGCTTGAACAATTTGATCTTTAAATATTTGAATTCAAATAACTTGAAGGATTCAACTTTCTTTTATTTATATCTCAATAGATATCTAAAATCTTTCCTAAATCTTTTTCGTATAGAGCATACATACAAAGTATATTCCTGAGATATTTTTATAAGATCGATTCTGGAGCTGAAACAAGGACTAAAATTGATGTGTAAAATTAATCGAATCTCATTTGTTAATTAATAATTTAGTTGGAGTTTAATTGGGATTCCTTTCTGTCTCATTCTATCACCATCTTGCATCATCTAAAAACTTAAACTCTGCTTATAATTTGATAAACAGCACTAACTCTCTTATTTATTTTACTTTCCAAAATCCACCCATCAAAAATCTACCAACACTTCACCTCATTTCAGACTATTTGCAATTCACTTAATTTCCATATTTAATTTCCGAAAATTGGAAAAATAAATACCAAGTGTATACCAAGTCTTTACAGGTTCGCGTGCACGTAGATCATGACTCGGAGCCATAGTTTCGAACAATCGGAAAGTCGTATACTCACCATACTCGTTGGGTATGATATCTGGATCGATGTCATCGACCGCCTGCTTGGTCTGGGGATGTACTGGAGTTGTTGCACCCGTATTAGGAGGGTCGCACACGATGGGAGCGTGCTTTGGACTTCCGGGGCGGCCGTTCGAGTGCTTCCGGTAGAGAGCCGCCAGGATCCCAGCTACGGCCAGGGCCAAAAAGGTCGCTGTTGCCGCGAGGCCCAGCAGCAACGGGCTCAGCATTGACGCGTCCGTGTTCCCTGTCATGGAACCAATGGAAAACGCTCGATCAACCGGAACTTCCATCGTGCTACCTATCTGCTGTGTCTTCCTCTGTTTTCTCCCTGTACCCCCGATTATTGCCGCAAGTATGTGTATTTTTATGCCACCTATACAACTATACCATCCTCTGTACACATTGCTGAGCATTGTGAGCTATTTGATCACCGATTTTCGTTCGACGACATTCGTTTAAATTTATAGTTCCGCAGGTATTGTTACCCTCTTTCGCGATGAACACGGATTGAATGATCGCGGTTTGTTTCGCAATTCAATATTCTTTTTTGTGTTTAAAATATTCGAGAAGTGCGAAAGTTAATCATTTGATTTGTGAAAAATTGAATAGAATAGGAGGATGGTAATTTTAAAATAGAAAGAGTAATATTTTTTGATATTCGCGAATTTTATATTGACTCAGTTAGTTGAACAATATGGAAAATTATTTATATTATCTTCTTTTATTAATTTTCTTTGAGAAATTGTATTATTTATTATTTAAGGTGAGATGCAAAGGCTTTTAGACACTTGTATTTTGATACTTTTTCAAAGAAAAGAAAAGAATAATAAAGTATTGTTTATATTTATTCCAATTAAAGAGAAAAATAAATTAATTTCGTAACTAAAACATAATTGTAACATAATTTACTATTCAATTTTTATTCTTTTCTTCTTTAAAAATAGATAATACCTATTTATAATAATATATAATAACACTATTTTTATAATGTATTTTCAGAAATGATGCATCAATATTGTATAAGATACACTACTCTACAGAGAATCAGAAATACTTTCTCAAATGTTGAAAAACAATATAATATTAATATTAAAAAATAATCCAAAAGTCAAAACGATCTCCTTTATCCAAATCAAAATATAAACTGTCTCTCCACTGTCTTCAATTTCCTTTCTATAATCGCACAAAAAAAAGAAAAGAAAATTTACAAATCCCAAGAAATATCGCAAAAATTAAAAGAAATCGCACGACAATGAGAAAAATCCTCAGCCATTTTCATTTCGAGCACGGATCATCCTCAGCATCCGGATTTTGCCGGTCAAACGCGTGCATGAAGGTGTGCGTGTGCACGCGCCCCTGCCAGGGGGTGAATCGTAAATCAGCCGTTAGGAGGCCGCAGTCGCTTCAGGCTTTAATCGGGCTAAAGCTAGTCGCGGCGATGTCGCGCGTTGTAAATTTTACCCCTTCCCTCCCCCGCGCGTAATCGTCGTGAATTATTAAGCTGGACGGTGCTTCCGTTTCGCGCCAAAAGGTACGCGGACCAGCGTCGATTTTTCCACGCTGATTTTTCCACGCGCCTTATCCCGGTTATCGTGCCTGCTAATTGGTGTTTGCGCGAAAGTGTTTGCTCGACGAGTATTAATAAGGCTGTTTGGTTTCGTTGCGCGGTGTGTTTGCTCGTTGTCAAGCGAACGGATTATTCGTTAGCTATTAATTGGGATGCATTCGTGGTAATGCAGCGATGGTTGAAAA